TAGCTTTATTTCTAAAGCTACAATCAGTGAAGGCAGGGCAGGGAGGCAGCAAGCACCTGTTTCCTAGCTTTGGTGGCTTCCTCCCTTCTGAAGTCATGTGACTTCCTTTGGTCCACAGACCCCTCCTTAAGGGGCCGAGGCTCCCTCAAACTGCACTTAGAATCAAGTGCTCAGGCTCAGCCATCTTCAGGAATGATAATGACTGAAATTTTTAGAGCCAGCCTCTCCAGCCACCAACACACACCCCGATTTTGTGCAGTGATTGATAATTGCCATCAATATGTTCCTAATGTTCTTGTCAACATGTCCTTCTTTACTCTGACTGAGAAATAAAATGAAATGAAAATGTGAAACTTTTGTTAGCTCCATGCCTATGAGAGAATGGTAAACATCTCCCATTCACGTCATCTGGTTCTGAGTCAAGAGAAATTCAAGTCTACAGATGAAAAAAATCAATAGTATTAGACCCTTAAAGAACTGCTCTGTGTGTTTATTTTTGCCCTGAATAATTCTCTTTGTGGCCTGAAATAGAATTTTAATGATGGACTCATCAGTGCGCCAGCTTGTGAAATTTACTGGGAAAATGTGAGGGTAACTGCTTCCTCTTAGAAGCCTGAAAATGCCAGCTCATGTTCTTGTAGTATTTTGTCTGGCTTTGAAGACCATCTGTTTTGTTTTTGTTTTTTGAGACAGAATGTAGATTCACCTTAACTGGGGGGAAGGTGGGTTCTTGTCCTCCAATACTCGCTACAGCAACGTTCTCTCTAATGGCCAGAAGGCAGCTCTGCCAATTATTTCACCCATGGTCTTTGGCCTGCCTTCGGTGTCAACCAGCATCAGCAGAGATGGGATATGATTCAGGAGCTCACTTCTCTACTACTGTCTGGGTGAGCTTTATAAATGTCCGCTTCAGTGAGACACCCTCTCACCTTCCCACAGTAGCAGTCTGAATCTTCTTGACTCTGTTCTGTCTCCTCTTAGGAACCAAGTCCCACTCTGCTCCCAGGTATAGCGTTTGAGCTTAAACATCTAAAACTAGATCCCCCTTTCCTGATTTCCGAATCACTTTGGAGATAAAGGAGATAGATGGAGATGAAAGCATCAGCTTTATCTCTGGCAAGACTTAGACTTGAAAGTATGGCTTACCAATGTTGTTCTGGCAGGGTTTTACAACATGTCTTCAGAATTGAGCTCACTCACCTAGACACAGGAAGCACTAAAAGACTGCAGACACATCTCACCCACTCTTTGTGGGGGTGGCGTTTTAAAGAGTGATAGTGTAGAGGGTCAGAGGGGAGCATCTGCTTCACGTGAGGGGCTCCTACAGGGGAAGGCAATAGGATGAGGCCTGGCTGAAGCAGCTTTGCCTAGCATCTCTCCAAACTCATGGGAAACGGAGCAGGGCTGAGAGTGTTCAGAATATGTGTGGGGTGCCAGTGGCTGCTGGGATGATTTCTCATTAGTTTTGTGACTTAAACAACAGGAATTTCATCATCATGTGGTTCAACAATCTGAAAATACCTCACTGAGCTAAAGGCAAGGTGCTGGCAGGAACATGCCTGCTGATGCATCTAGGGGGAACTGGCTCTTGACTTTTGGCTTATGATGTTACCTACGTTCACTGGCTCAGGGCTCTCATCTAGTGACAGCATCACTTCAGCCTCTTCTGTTGTCAGATCTCCTCCGGGCCTCCCGCTTCTCTCTGGTAATTATGATTAGCGTTGGCCCATTTGAACAGTCTGAGACATTCTCTTAGATCACAAATCTTAGCTCAGTGGCCAGGTCCCCACTGTTAGGAAGTCATAACATAATCATAGGTATCAGGGATTAGGATGTGGACATGTGTGTGGGACACCATCCTTCTTACTGTAGACTTCCTCATGGAAGTTGCAAGAATTGGGAAGAAATGGCCCTAAATTAACTTGTCCCAGTGGGAGGTTTCTGGATGTCTTTGCTCAGTTCCTGTGTAGAGAATGTTGTCTGGATTGACTGATGTATCCATTGCAGAGCGCTCTCTGCTGAGAAGTGAGACTGGCCTGCCTTGTGATCTTGATGGTGGTTAACAGTGTAGCCAGTGCTTTAGGGATGTCAATGTTTTATTTTACATTCCAAACAACTCTGAAAAGTCTGTGTGGATATTTATTTATTTTATTAAAAAATCTTTTATTCATTTTACATACTAATCACAGATACCCCTCTCTTCCCTCTTCCCACCACCCCAGTGTTCCCCACAACTCCCCATTCCCTCCTTTGAAAAGGTAAGACCTCTCATAGGTAGTCAGCAGAGCCTGGTACATTCAGAAGAGGCAGGTCCAAGTCCCTCCCCCTGCCTCAAAGCTATGTGAGGTGTCCCACCATAGGTAGTGGGCTCCTAAAAGCCAGCCCATATACCGGGGATGAATCCTGATGCTACTGCCAGGGGGTCTCTTAAGCAGATCAAGCTACACAACTGTCTCACTTATGCAGAGGGCCTAGTCCAGTCCCATGGAGGCTCCACAGCTGTTGGTCTAAAGTTCATGAGTTCCCACTAGCTTGGTTTGGTTGTCTCTATAGGTTTCCCCATCATGATCCTGATGACCCTAGGTCATAGAATCCCTCTTCCCTGTCTTTGACTGGACTCCTGGAGCTTAGCTGGGTGCTTGACTATGGATCTCTGCATCTGCTTCCATCAGTTAGTGGATGAAGGCTCTATGATGACAGTTAGGGTATTCACAGACTTGATTACTAGGATAAGCCAGTTCAGGCACCCTCTCTGTATGGATATTTCAAAAGTAGATATTAATGTTTCTATTTTGTGACCAAGTACTGATCCTTATAGCTAGGTCTTTCATTTTAGACCCCTGTGGTTTTTTTATTTTCCTTACAGCTTCTCTATCTTGCATAAGAGTAAACCCCTAAGGTCTTGTCTCACCCACCATTATGAAAGGACCTAATTTATTTCTTGTTTACCCTTACATAAGAATAGACCCCTAAGGTCTTGTCCCACCCACAATTATGAAAGGACCTAATTTATTTCTTGGTTGTCTCTGTGTGGCACAGGACCTGTCATGTCTTGTTCCCAATGACAGAGAGTAGAAGTGAATCCCAGAATGTCCTTGCATTCTGTTCCTTATGTTTTAGCCTCCCCTCTCTTTCGTTCCAGCTCACCAGAGTGCTCCACTGCAGCAGCTGCCAATGCACTGTATGAGAGAAAGGAATTACCTTTTAGAAAAGTATAGGCCTGGCAACTCTGCCACTGTCCCTGGGAAATCTGATGATGGTTTCTTCCCAGGCACTGTGTGACTCCAGTTCTCTTACAGAAAAGCATGCATGATTAACACAAGCAAGGCAGGGTGGAATTTAATGGGAAGAACTGAGACCATTTTCTACAAAGGTGTGACTAATTCAAAGAAATAGTTCAAGCATATATCTAAATGAAATGTACACATACCATATTTTCTAAAGCCCAAGACCTGGAGCACTTGGTGAATATTTGCTGAAAGCATCTTCTAAATACTATGTTGTGATAGAATTGATATCGACCATTCTCATCATCAGATGCCTTGAATGTTACGAAAGTAAGTACAGAATCATCTGGATGGCATGTAAGTTGGGTGAATTTCTTTTCCGTGTTTCATTATCATTTGCTGTGAAGACAAGAGTTGCTGTGTACTGGAACCCAAGACACACAGAGGTGATTCCATGGTCCATGCAATGAAACTTCAGCGTCTTTATCCCTAAGATGGTACATGCAAGAATTTTATTGAGTTTAGTATACATGCATCTTTGCAGCAATCGTCCTAGGGTATGCAGTGAAGGCAAGATCCTCTCTGCAATGATTACCTTACAAGATACTTCTTTAAGCTTTTAGATTGTCAAAGTTGCATTACGAAGCAAACATACTTTGTCCCAGTGAACATAGACCAGGGACATTAGTTTTATCTTAGCTTTTTAAACTTCTCTGAGGAACAAACTACCCAAGAACATTAACCTTGTTTTGTGACAAGTGTTCCCAATGGTCTTAAATGCTCAAATGCTTAAGAGTATCCATCAAGATGTGAAAGTCATATCGGCTTTCTTTTGACCTAATTCTTCATAGTTGGTAGATTTTATTGGTTTGTTTTTAAAGCATCTTTAACATTTTAGGCAAATGTATTATAATCAAATGTATTCACGATTCAAGAGTCACCTAAATAGCCATGGGATGGTGGGATAAAAAAATAGCATCATTACTTTTCTATAGATGGTCCCTCTTTAAATATACCTACATCAAGCTTTATAATTTATTTTATGTGTACAAATACCATGTTTATATGAAAGCTTTGAAAGTCTGATTTAGATATGACCTACTGAATTTTTACCATGGACACTGGCAAATTAGCTATGTTTTTTTTCTCTTGTCCTACTTCACAGAGCCTCATTTGTCTCCCTTGCTTTTCTCAATACTCACAGTCTTGTTAGATCTGCTATTATTAAGACTACACAAGGACAAACTTGTGCTTCTGTTAGTGAGCTATGATCACAATTCTTTCTTTTCCTTGTCTTTCAATTATCTTTCCGAATTCCCCATGTTTTGCAAATTTGCTTAATTTTCCATTAAGTCAACCCACATTTAATCCCAAACTTGCTCATGATTATTTAAATATTGTCTTTTGTAGGCACCTTCTCCTCAGGCCTACCTTTTGGAGACATTGCCCTTAGTACCTGTGACCAATTTTTACACAGGAAGCTGGGTAATCTTTCTGTCCCCCCACTAAGTCGGGCCTCCTGATTTTCTGGAATCCCATGCCATTTAATTGTTGTTTTCTTGCTTGCTTTTGTATGTAGTTAAGCACTTGTTTCGTTGAGCACATTTTCTGGGAATGGATGCATGAAGAAAAAAAATCCCTGACATCTTGAATTTCAGTGTTTGTGTCTTTGCTTGTAATTATCCTCCAGAATTTTGAAGCCATTGTACAATTTCCTTTCAGAATCTAGAATTGCTTTTGAGAACTTTGGAATTTCTTTTTCTTGTTGCTTTAGGCAGGGCCTACTTTTCCTCCTACATGTATGGTATTTTCTTCAGCTCCATTTCAGTAATGTCTGTACCTGCTATGACCTTGTGTAAGTCTGCTTTCGTTCACTTGGGCATTTGACAATACTTGGGTCTAGAACTCATGCCGTCAGCTTTTCAAATGTCTCAAGTCATTTCTGTCACAGTTTTGTTGTCGTTTCTATCTCAGTTTGAAATTCCTTATGTTAGCTGAATGACATTGTCCCTTTAAAGTGATTTTACTTCTCTAACAGTTTGGCTTTTCATTTTTCTAAATCCTTTTTTTTTTCTAAAAATTTCTTATTCCAAGCCTTTGCTTTTAGTTGGTTGCTGAGAGCATCTAGTTTTCAAAGAGTCAACAAGGCAACAAGTTCTGACAATAGCTCTGAGATGGTTGTCTCTTTCTAACTCTTTTTCTGAGTGCAGTTTTCCAGAGACGACTTCATGTGTAGTATTCAACAGATAGAATGCAGAAGTAGACGCAAGGGTCCAGCTTGTTTTCATTAAGCTGTGTGCTACAGATATTTGGAAAACAATGTAATGCAAAGGCACATAATTTTTTTGTTTTGGATTTATTATTTCTTCATAGAAATGCATTATTTATGCTATGCATTAAGTATTTTGTATAATATACTAACCACTCTGCAAATACTTAGCAGGTTTTCTTTTAAGCTCTCATATGAAGAACAATGATAGAATAACCACCATAAACAAAAGCTTTTCAGGATTCTCAATATTCTTTTTTTTAAGAATACTGAAGACTCCTGTAACAGAAGGTGTGAAAACTGCAACCATAAATATTCCTTATTAGACCATTGTAGTCTTGTTTCTCAGGTGCAATACTTTTATTTCTCTTAGGATATTAATTTATATTGTGTATGTGTGGCACTCTTTGTGTGTATCTGTACATGTGCAGTTTGCAGGTACAACTTGTATGGGTAGATAGATGGTGAGTTTGTGTGTGCACATGGGCATGCATGTGGGGGCCAGGGGTTTATATTAGCATCTTCCTCTATCATTCCCCATCTTATTTTCTGGGACAAGGCCTCTCACTGAACCTAGAGCTCATCGATTGTGCAAGACTATCTGGGCAGTGACCTCCAGGGATCCTCCTGTACCTGCCTCCCAGGATACAATTGTAGGAATTTAAAGCACCTTCTCTTATTTTTTCTCTTGGTTCTAGGAACCTGGATACTGGTCTTCAGTCTAGTGTGACAGTAATTTTACTGGCTGGGCCATCTCTCCAGCCCCAGGATATTATTTTCTTTTGAATTTTCCTTTTCCTCAAGTGGTCTTTCTGCTAAGTTTCCTCTCTGTTTCTTTCTGTACCTCTCCCTCCTTACTTTTCCTCTCTTCCCCCACCATATCTTAGAGGCTCTCCAGAGGTGACCAGTGGTCCTTCTGTGCTCCTGTAAGAATCAGAGTTCAGAGCATCAGTGTAGCAGGCTTTCTTTGGGCCACCAAACAGCTCCCAAATCATAACACAGAGACTTATTACTAGTTATGAATGCTTGGCCTTATCTTATGCTTGATCCACTGGATCTTATAACTTAATTTAACCTGTTTCTCTTCATCTACATTTTGCCTCATGGCTTTTTACCTTTCTTTCATTCTGTATATCCTACTCTGTGTGGCCAGCTGGTGGCTGCCTAACTGGTTGGCCCTGGACGTCTCTCTCACTTTCTCCTTCATTCTCTCTCCTCTCCTCTCCTCTCCTCTCTTATTCCTAGATTCCTCTGCCTACTTATTCTTTCTGTCTGCCAGCCCCACCTATCCCTTTACTGCCTAGCTATTGATCATTCAGCTTTTTGTTAGACCCATCAGGTACCTTAGGCAGGCAAGGTGAAAGAAATGTAACACATTTTTGCCTAGTTAAACAAATGTAACATAAACAAATGCAACACACCTTTACATAGTTAAAGTAATATTCCACAACACATCAGCCCAAGTTTTCCCTGGTGACCTGACTACTAAAGCACCAGTTGTGAAATCATTGTCCTTGGATCTTTTCCATTAGATTGATCTCATTTCCTAGAGAGTTTTCAGCTTCTTCTTGGAGAACAATGAGGGCTGAACTTGGGATCTGTTCTACTTTGATTCTGTTGCTGTAACGAATATTATGACCAAAAAGCAACTTGGGAAGGAAAGGGATTCATTGGCTTACACACTGAGGTCACAGTTCATCACTGAGGAAATCAAGGGTGGGAGCTCAATCAGGAACCGAAGCAGAAACTTGCTGGCTTCCTCACAGTCACACTGGCTCCTGTTCAGCTATCTTTCTTGGACAGCCCACACCCACTTACTTAGGTATGTACAACTCGAGTGGGCTAGGCCCTTTTAAATGATTTAGCAAACAAGAATAGGCTTCACACACATGCCCACAGGCCAGTCTGATAAAGGCACTCTTTCTGTTGACGTCCTTCTTCCCAGATGACTCTAGTTTATGTCAAGTTGATAAAATCTTCCAGTACAGGAGCTGATCCTCGTAACTACCAGGAGGTTCTCGGTATTCAACACACTGAGCTTTACAGTGAGGGGGCTCCAGTTCTATGCCTGCATTCTTCTCAGTCCTGGGATCCTCTGCCTCATTCTCTATGGAGAATCAACCTCCAGTATCATACGCGTCTGTAATATAAGGTAACATTCTTCATGTGCCTCTAAATAAAATTCCTCATCGTCACCCTTCGCCTGCACAAGCTCTTCCCAGTGCTGGTTTCTTGGCTTTGAACATCTGTATCATTCAGGCTGTCACTTTACCCTTGGCCAGCTGAGGGAGAGTTTGGATTTTTGTTTTGGACACGCAAGTTGTCGCTTGCCCAACAGCTTCCAGTTTCCAACCACTGTTATGTTTGCCTTCTCTCTCCTTTCTGGGAGTTTATGGTAATAAAAAAAAAGTTCAATATAAATATCTCTTCTAAGATTTGCTAATCTATAGCAGAATTGCTTGAGCGTGTTGAACATTCCATCATTATACAGAACTGGGTCCAATCTTTATATGGCCCAGGCATGTGGCCAGTGTTTATTTTTGTGTTTCTTTCTGAAGAGTCCGAGATGATGTCAATTTCTGTTGCCAAAGTTGTCTCTAAGTTCTCTACTCAGTTCATTTTTAGCATAGGACAGATAGGCTAGAAAATCTAGTATTAACAATTTTCCCTAAGATTTTTTTTTTTAAGCATCAAGGACTTAAATGAATACACTTGATTTTGCTGAAGTTGTAACAATGAAATTGCTATTTTTAATTTTTTTATGAGCAGTTTCACAATGATAAATGTTTTATCATTTCCAATACTGGTATCAGATAAGCATTGGCTGTGTCTAGAATTTCATCTCCTGTAGGAAATGACACAAAATGCGGATATGCTGAATGGTCTATAGGAAAATTTTAGTTTGAGAATTCATTAATATTTATTGAACTCTGTAAGCCTTGACCTCTAGTCATATCTCAGTAGTATTTAGGGAGACTGTATCACTTTTGAGGACCATTTAAGGCACAGCTGGTACTGGGAATATTTTTAGAAAAATGACTAACTAAAATCCACCAGTAGAGGAAAATGTCAGTGCTTCTTAGTTTGATCTTTAAAAAGACATTTCCATTTTCCATTTCTTCAAGAGAATCTAGGAGTGACCCTTTCCTCACTTGAGGGTCTTGTATCCAGAACACCTCACTCCAGGGGTGCATTTATTGAGCTGTACAACTCTCCCCTCTGTTTCCCGGCCTTCTGTAGTCAAGGCAGCAGAGTTCCCATACGTGCCTCAGAGAGTCGAAGCTGGAAGGAAGAAGGAAGAAATTAAAACGTGTGGATCTTTGATTATTTTGGGGGGATCCTAAGGGAGGCTTTATTTGGACAATTTTTTTTCTGGTGATTTTATCAGTGCTAAAGTTTACAGGAATGTTGCTCTGTCAAGTGTGGTCTGTACTTGGGGTGCTGTAATAATAATGGGTATGGTCTGTACTTGGGGTGCTGTAGTAACAACAGGTATGGTCTATACTTGGGATGCTGTACTAATAACAGGTGAACTGACTGCTTAGGAACAAGAGAGGGACGCAAATACCAGCCTGTTGGATGAAGAATCAGGATACAAACCAGAAGTAAATAAGTAATTGGGGAAAAGTTGCCAATGGGAAGCTCTGAAATGTTCGACTCCAGGCTAGTAGGGCTGATGTGGACCCCAGAACACCAACTTCATTCTTTATCCCTTATAAAATTCTGATGAAAATTTCACTTTGTAGCTTAGGGGTCATTTTAAAAACATTTATAGGCTCTGACCATGCATTGATGCCTTTGACTTTTGCTTAAAATGCAAATGACTGATTACAAATACAGATTGCGTTTTTCAAGATATTTGTGACTTTTGCTTTTGGCGTCACCTAGTTCTAATATGTCACTTAAATTATGGTCACCTCTCATTTCTCTTCAGGCATAGGAAATTATTGTGATGTTAAAATAAAATTAAGCTACAGATTACTTTTAATCTTAATGGCATTTAAGTGATTATTGAATCTAACAATTAATGAAGCTTTCATAATGAAATGTTTCGATGATACCCAGTGATCCCTTTCTAATTTCAACTGCTTTGTAGCTAACAATTCACTCTTACATTTTCTTACCTTGTATGTCTAAGGCAATGTGTCTAGAATGCCTGGGGGATAAAACACATGAGATGTGGGTGTAGTTTAATCTTGGAACAGGAGCTGGAACATCATTGTCCAAGATCATGGGAAAGATAGATTTGATCAAAATAGCATGAAGAACATCGATTTGGGTGTTAAGATCTATAACTAACTGAAAAGGAAATTAAAATAGACATGGCACTGACCTTCAGTTACTTCGAGAGTTCTCTAGTAGGAAAAATCTCTAAGGTCCTATGATGGACTATAGGCTTGACTTCAGATCAATAGATGTAACTGATGTGGAAGTGAATTTTGTTCAATGTCAAGGATTTTCTTACCAATGAGGGAGAGGGTGGTTGTAAGAGATAAGAAACCCCTTGACCTGTTTAGTCTGCACCTCCATCTTTAAAATTATTGTAAAATTCTGGTATGTAGTTGACTTAGATGACCTGAGATATA